AGATGGTGTCAAGTATGCTTTTTAGCAAGTTGCTAATTTTGGCCTTAAGTTAGTTTAGCTAGCTAATGCTGCCATTTAATTACCAATATAAAATATCATATACCGTATGATTTTAACAAACATGACTCAAAAATACTAAAATTCACGTGTGCTGAAGGCTAAGTAATTATATTAACAGTGGTGGAAAGCAATTAAGTACATTTACTGTAGTACTGTACTTAAGTACAATTTTGAGGTACTTGTACTTCCATTTTATGCCACTTTATACTTCCACTCTACTGAATTTCAGGGGGAAACTTTCTACTCCACTTCATTTATTTGACGGCTTTAGAGAAACAAGCAAGATACTGTAAGGACTGTATCACTTAAAGGTGTAATGTGTAAAATCGTGCTACTTGATCCACATCCATAGGGGGCAGCATTTCACCTATTCGCCCCTGTCCAGTTAATCATGTTGTTGTTTTCCCCATGTTCCTTATAATTTATTATTTATATGTGCATTTATTGTTGATAGTTAAAATTGTTGACAGCACTGAAACAAATTATGAGTATTTGTAATACAAACAGTATGTTTTATATACCTATAAAAATATGAAGGCAAGGGGATACTGCATGACACATAGGTGTCAGGCTACAGCAGCATGAGGAAGGGATGATAACATCATCACAAAGGCAGAATCAGAAAATAAGGTTCATTGCCAGGTAGGTTTTTACTTACAAGATATTTGGCTTGGTGTTTGGTGCAGTATCCAATAAACATATTAACAGGAAATAACAATAAAAAGATAAAATACTGCAACAGTCAAAAACGATAAATATACATAGATACACATATTCAAAAAATAAAACTATGAAAAAAACTATGTACAAAAGAGTTGATAAAACTCCTGCTGAGCAGGATGTGCAAAAGATCACAGCATAGACAATATCTGTTCTGTGCAGGGATAATACTCCAAGGTGTCACTGTAAGGTGGTTGTTGATTATTAAAGGTGCTGGTCGATCACTGGGGAGGACTGGACAGGTATTCTGGTCCTGATACAGACAAACATGATAAGACAATTAGTTTAAATCATACAAGTTCTTTATATTCAAACATGTTAGGTTTGTTGTGTGTGTATATAATAAATAGTAAGGATAGATATGAATATGCCAAAATAAATACAGTATTAGGCAGTGGATCCTGAACCCGCTGGTTCTGGATCAAACAGTCTCTTTGTCTTACTTGTAAAAAAAAAAAGTTACTGACACATCTATCTGGACAACAGCCGCAGGATCTGTCTCCAGCGGTGGAAAAACACACTAGGATTTACCCGTGTTTTGCTTCTTTGCCGTTGAATGTGGTTTCTTGTTTGAACGGTCCTTCAAGAAGGAGATAAAGATCGCTTTCTAGGCGTTTCAGACATCTGTGCGTATCTGTAATGCTCATTGGCAGCTTTTTATTAATTTTTTTAGTCAGGAACTGTAGCATAACTTCAAGCTCCGGAGGAAGCTCTTCTTCTCCGTGGGACTGAGGGCAGACTAGACGCTACACTGACTCACACAGCATCTAGCGTCATAAAGTGGTATTACAACACAGCCCGGGACACAGCTAGTTGGTTAGCATGCTCATTTCAGTAGATATCTCTGAAATACAATAGATGGAGGTCTTGGTCATGACATCATCACTGTGGCTCCTTCACATACTATTGATTGTGTTAGTTCATTTTTTGAACATTTTAAACTAAAATTCTGGCCAGATCTTACACATTACACCTTTAAGTTCACTGAAGCATGCTCCTGCATTGTACTGGTTTGTCTTTCGCCCTAGGGAAAAAGTTGACCCCCTTTTGTCGTTGTTGATTGTGTTTCACATTCTGTTTACAGGTAGCCTTACTTTCAGTTTGTCCTACATGCTTCAGATAATATGGTAAAGTGGCAGTTTGTTTACAACCTTTTGGACAATGTCAACCTGGCTGCTCATTTTTAACCAAACATTATTTCTGTGATAACTTAGGGTGCAGCGGTGACAGTGTGGTCCCTACCTTAATCCTAAATCTAACCCACTGTGTGAGCAAGTACCTGCCTGCTGAGGTGCCCTTGAGCAAAACACTTGACAGCTCCAGGGCTACGGTGCTGCCACTTAGCATGACCTTTGACCTCCCTTTTGAAGAAGAGAAGAAAGAATTCCTCCTTCAGGGGTCAACTGTGTGTCACTACAAACATCTTTTTTCTTTTCTTATACATCCATAAATGTGCAAAAAAAAACTGTATAAACAGTTCATGGACATGCAAAAGTTAAATTCTCTTCCTCTCTGTGGCTCGACGAGAGACAGATGTTTTATATTAATCTTCACACTCAGACTGCAGCAGAATTTCAGTGGAACTGTCTCTGTTTGAGTTACTTTCCTGCTTTTTTTCCCCTGTTGCACAGATTTGAGCCACTGTTTTTGATCTTGGCTCTGTGCTTTTGTGTGTGTGTATTTGTCTGTCTGTGCGTGTGCACGTACACGCACTGTACGCATCTGCACTCTTTGATACATCTCTTCCTGTGTCAAAGTCAAAAAAACTGAGCCCATGCATGTGTGTCTGTTAGTTTGTGTATGTGTGCATGGGTGTGCCCACTTGCATGGTGATGCATATTTCTGTGCATGGTTTACAGCATGTGCACGTGTATACCTGTGAGATTTGTGCAGATGTGGAAATGTGTGTGTAAGATGGACCGTTCCTCCGAAATTTGTCTTGGCTCCTCTGTCGTTTTTCTGAGCTTCAATTTCCTCCTTCCTCTAAAGCCGCAGCGATTGGACGTCTCTGACATTTTATTCTCAGACCTCAGCACAACATTTCCACCGAATTTCACTGGTAGTGACATAAGTTTCACACATGGACTTGACAGTGCATGATGTGTGCACAACCCTGTGTGTGTGTGTGTGTGTGTGTGTGTGTGTGTGTGTGTGTGTGTTGATAATGCACTAGGGTAACGACTCCCAGCTGCCTTGTCTGAACAGAGAGCACATCTGGAAAAAAAGGAGGAAAAAAAGATTGCAAAAAGAAGCAAAGGAAAAAGGGGAGTAGATGTTAGCTTATTGTAAGTTTAAAGTAATATCCTGTTTATTTGTTCTTAAATACAGAATTCATGATTCAGGAGCTGCACTGGAGAACATCTGGAAGAAGTACATCACTGGCATTCATAGACAGAGAGTCATGGACATTAGGACACCCTTGTAAATAACCTTTAGAGCTTTACACTTTGTTTGTCTTTGCATGCTGTAGGCTGCATGAACATCCATCTGCTCTTTGACAATGCTGTGCATTTATATCTTTGTGCTCATTTTCCGTGGAACTCTGAAAGTAAAGTCGAAGCGATTTTGGCGAGTCGAGCTGTTTATGATTCTGGAACTGATTATGCAGAAATTCCCCTAGAGTGAAACACGTCCATGTGAAAGAAATAAAGAAAAAAAATTGAAAGAGTGGAGAGTGTGTGAGAGAAAAGAGAGAGGCAAAGGCTGGTTTACTCTTATTTGGGAGGGAGGTCATTCCTATTGTATGAGTCACAGTTTTAAGAGAGACCAGAACCCCCCCGCCTCCGCCTCCGCCCCCGCCCACCTCCACATCTCTCCATCACATGCACACACACACACACACACACACACACACACACACACACACACACACACACACAGACATCTTGCTCCACTCCTCTCTTCTTCTCTTTTTAAGGAAAAACGCTTCCCTGGCCAAGACAGCGAGAAGAGCTTCATAGTGCTAACTCTGGTCAGCAGCTGGCCGCCGCCTCTTCCTCCTGTTGTCTATCTTATCCCCTCTCCTACTTGGTTCCCTTGGCAAAATGCTGACTGCTGTCTCTCCTCCAACCTCCTCTAGACTGCTTGTAACCCACAACAATGTCAGGTAAAGTTAAATTGAAAAGCAGGGGGAGTGAAATGTTTAAAACAAATCCATTAAATGTCGGTAAATGTCAAAACAATGACTGTTGACTGTAGAGGTCAGATTTTAAAGATATGACTTCCAAATAGACCTCCAGTGATTCACATCATCATCTTTTATAGTGATTTAACACAAATGACGTCTTCAGTCTGATAGCGTATGATGTAACAGATATGGACTTGGATTAAAAGCCTGCTCCTGACATGGCCTCCTGTGCTCTGGGCTGCATGGACAACACATTAGTGGCAGTGTTACTGGTTAATGCACCGGCAGCTCTGCAGGCCACATCAGAAAATTCAAGCAAATTGGACTCTGATATGTTCAACCTGTGGTGCTGCAGTTGGCACACAGTCACCAACAATGACATGAAGTAAAATATGCTTTTCATTCACAGTGTAAATACAAGTGCAGATGTGCACATACATGGTAAGTCCTGTACATCGGAGACCTCCCACTAAGTCCACAAAGACTTTAAGACATACAAACAGGCAAACAGGCAGCTGAAGCACCTACATGCATATAAACATGGTGAGCAGACTGATGGACAGTCTGTCAGTGTTTACACCGAGTATAAACTCCTCTCACTTGGCCTACTAATTGCAACCAGACTACCAGACAAAAGCCAGGGCCTTTTGTGTGTGTGTGTGTGTGTGTGTGTGTATTAAGGGGGGTTAAGTCTGCTCTTTATCCTGTTCTATTTCACTCCAACTCGCCACATGTGTGAGAATAACTGTAAAACCTCTTAAATGCCCTATCTCAGGGACATGAAAGCTCAGTGTGTCCCCAGGGTTGCGCCATGTGTTCCGCTGAGGGCCACAGCCATACAACTGTGATATCTCCTGATGCTAAACGGACATTGGTGGAGTTTAAGGCGTCTTCGAGGGGGGATCAGCTCAAAACCCCAGCTGTGCTTTGGCATCATCTTCCACTGGTGTATGGTAGTAGTGCTGGTACAATCTCCCATGGATACACGCGCACGCGCACACACGGGTTGCTGCGGAGCCACGGCGCCTCCAAGCGGACAGCCGTGCGCATACAGGAGGAGGGGTCAGAACTTGTTGCTGGGGCTGGACCGGGACAGGAGAGCGAACGGACGGCTCTTCGTGAAGTAAACGAGCATCCAAGACTTTATACCCCATTTTCTCTTTCCGCAACCCCGTTCTTTCTCGGTTTTCCCGCCTGCTGAGATGATATAATCAACAGAGGATCAGCTGCCCACGAAGATTTAAAGTTATAGTAAGAGTTGAGGTATGTAGCACTTTTACGCACAACGATGTGCCATATTCTGTCCTCTCCCCTTCTCCTGTTATATCTCCGCCTGTCTGTCCCTCTGTCTCTGTGTCTCTTTGCGTGTCGTAAAACTCTCATTCGCTGAAATGATGGTGTTTTCGCAGCCGAATCAAACTGCTGCGCCCACAAATTTGGGATGCGTAAATCCTTGGAAATCCACAAACTACTTGCTTGTGAGAAAAACCTAAGGACGACGTGGACGCTGTCAGTAGTGCTTCTATCTCTAAATACTTTTGCATGATGTTTGGTGCAGTGATATAAAGCTGAGGGGATTCTTCTCAGTCTCCTTGCCTGGACAGTGGGAAAGGAGTGGGAACATCTGCAGGAGCGACTCCTCCGCAGATGTCTGTCCGCTAGAGGGAGCCACAGCAAAGAGCGCAGTTTGCTGTAATGAGCATCAGTTGGCATATTGTCCATCCAGGGCCGCTTGCCGTGTGTAGATCTCGGGAATAGATGCATAGAGTTATGTATAGAGACCAGACCAAAAGGTTTTGGTGACATGTTTCTTGTAGTGTCAGACAGGGTGTGATCTGGATGTGAGGTCAGTCAGCTGCCCTCCGGAGGCCTTTAGAAGAGCCCCACACCCTCAGACGGCCGCAGGCCCCATATTCAATGTGTGTCACTTGCTTTGTGGTTAATTTATTCATCGCTAATTCATCTTGGAATATGCACAAGTCAAATGATAAATGGTCCAAGGGATCAATCATGCACGATTACCTGACTGGTCAGAATTTACTTGGAGCATATCCCTACATAAGTTTGTGTTAAACCAAATGAGAAACATGGGTCAGTGCACCAGGACACTCTTATGGATTAATCCAGCCATGACAGCCTGTGAACCCGGGCTTACTGTGAGAGAAGGGATATCCTCTGGAGGGCAGCAGACTGTGGTCTTGTGACATCCTGTGGTTTATATCCGAAACGTGAGGCTAATTACATTAAAACAGCAGCCTGGTCTCAGCTGCCAAACACAACCAGACTCCAGTCTATTTTATGTCGTCACCTGAGGTAATATGTGTATCATTTTTCTATGGCTTGAAAGGATGAGGTGCTTTATTATGATAAGATTAACCGTGTCGTGGATGTGACTGAACATCCACAGGTCGTCCGCGGCTGTGGCTTGGCAGCGTGTTAAAGAGCTGTGTTTCTCTTGGACTCACGTGATGGCTTCGAACCTATTACCTCACTGTGGCATTCATTTTGTTCCCATGGTAACAGTCAGTAGACATGTGTTCTTATGATTCCCCTTAACTGATACCAGGTGCAGAATGACTTTAGCAATCGGCTAATGCTACATACCGATAATTATATCGCAGGAGAAACGATTCTTCACATCAGAGTTTATTGTAAGAGGCTGTTACAGTTTTGGTGATTTTAAAACACGTTTTCTTTGTTCAGGCTTTAAATTTTTTTACATGAATGTCTTTCCCTTTTTTCTTGATTCTTGACTGTCTATTTTTTATTTCTTTTGTCCAATTAATTTTGAGCGAAACAGAAACAGGTTGTTGGCTCAAACATGTGTCTTGATCCTTTCTGTGTCAGACAGGAGAGCAGGAAGATGCTGGGGTTAGAGGTCATCGCCGCCTGTCTTCTTTTTGGAGCCCTGACTCACGGCCAGCAAATAGAGTGCGCCAGTGAGTGCCATCAAACTGAACTGTAGTTGCTTCACAGCCACAGTAATGTGTCATCTAATGTGTTAACACAACTTCAGTGACTTAACAGGGAACATTTTGTCCTACTGATTTAAATACATTTTCCATGGAGTTTTTATATGTGTTTTTGTGTGTGTGTGTGTGTGTGTGTGTGTCTCTCTGTTCCCTCCAGCGAACAATGAGTGTCCCATAGACGTCTACTTCACCATTGACACATCTGAGAGCATTGCCCTGCAGGAGCCGCCCCCTGGGTCGCTAGTGGACAGCACCAAGGTTCCCGGTTTATCTGCAATTTTTTATTTAAACCTCAACCCGAAATAGCCCGTTTTACAGTGACATCATTTCTAAATGACAGCTGACCAAATCAGCTGCATGTGCCGCACTGTATAACGTGTTGTGTCTTGTTGCTGCAGAAATTCACTGAGGAGTTTGCAAAGCGTTTGGAAGATATTCAGTACAGAGGTGCTGTGCAGATCAAGTGGAAACTCGGGGGACTGCACTACTCCCAGACACAAAATGTCTTCAGTCCCATCGTACCCAAGGACGATTTCATCATTGTGAGTGACACACACACACACACACATATCACATGTATCATCAAGTTAAAGATTAAATTTGTTCAGTCCTCATTTGTTTCATGCCTAACCAAGTGATTAAGTGCTGAATTAGAAACTGGAAAATGTGATTAATGCTGCATGAGACCACATAATGTGCTGGCGGCTCTGAATGGAGGGAATGAGGATGGGTATTTCTGACCTGTGACCATCCTCAGCACGAGTTTGATATTGTGAAAAAATAATATGTTGACAGTTGTTACTCTTGCTCAACATTGCTGCACTATTGAGAATAAGTTTTTTTTTTTACTCTTTTTTTGCACCACATAACTATTAACAACAGTGACAACCAGGGGTGGGCAAAACTGCTTGGGGGACCCTGAGGCAAAAATCAGCTGTGGGCCCCAACAACTAAACAAATTTCAACTAGTGAAAGAAATAAAGAAGCTTTTCGTACAGTGTGTACTGCAGAGAAGAAATGGCTGGTAGCTGCCAGATGGACATTAGTCCATGTGGCCCGGTAGTTTAATGTGCACTATGTGTCCGCAGGTTCCTGAGTTGGTTCCATTGAGAGACCTTTGTCTCCTTTGGTGTTTTCTGCTTCACTGCGTCGTCAGATAGAGACAAAATGCCTTCGTCAATATTAAAGTGACCAAACACTTAGCCTCAAGCAAAGTGTTTTGCCCATGTCATTGTTAAAAATTACCCCTGATCATATTCATTGATGCATTAGAATTAGATTTTTGAACATTTTGGTAATGATCCTCTTTTGTGTGGGAAAGTTAGATGAGAGGATCAGTACCACTCTCATTAAGAACAAGGCTACAGCCAGCAGCCGGTTAACTGGGCCTAGCACAAAGACTGGAGACAGGGAGACACAGCTCTCTTGGTGCCGCCCCAATTAACAGGTTATGTCTCTTTTTTTAATCTGTACAAAAACAAAAGTGTTAAAATGATGACTCTGTGATTTACGGGGGGATTTTGTGCCAGATTTTAGCTGGGAGCACTGATGACAACTTCACATGTTGCTTACCTAGCAACTGCTCCCTCCCAAAAAATAGTCCAGCACATAGCCCCCTGTAAAAAACTGTTGTTTTCACACTTGAGATTTGTGTACAGATGAAATATTAGTGAGCTTTAGAGGCGCTGGTTGGCGGATACTGTTTCTTTTAAACACAGCCAGGCTAGCTGTCTCCAGTCTTGCTAAACTATGCTAAGCTAAACTAACCTTCTGTCGGCTATGTTTATGTATTTAATGGACAGACTTCTCATCTAACTCCTCATCCAGAAAACAAAGTAGTTGTATATTTCCCAGATAATAAAATCGCCGGTTGGTAATCCAGTCTTAATGATAACTCACACTTGTCACTGTTTCCAGAATGTCCGAAAAATAAGGTATTTGGGTAAAGGCACCTACACCGACTGCGCCCTCAACAACATGACCTACCAAATGCTGCGTTCAATCCAAAAACCTTCACCCCTCCGATTTTCTGTGGTCATCACCGACGGCCATGTGACCGGGAACCCGTGTGGAGGCATCAAGGTGGCAGCGGAGAAGGCTCGTGACGAGGGCATCCGGTTATTTGTCGTAGCAGCATCGAGGAACACTGAGGAGACAGGTCTGAAGGAGATCGCCAACTCTCCAGCGTCGGTCTACAGGAGGAACTTCATGGCTGTGGATCTGAGCCAGGGCAAAACCACTATACACACACCGACCATTGATCGCATCATTAGTACAATGGTAACACACACACACACACACACACACACACACACACACATGCACACAGAGAAATATGAGGAATGATCAGTGCCTCTTATGTTCACACCTTGTCTCTTTTGTCTTCACAGCAACATTTAGCGTACACGGAGGTAAGACAGCTGATGGTACAAATAATCAGAAATGTAAAAATTTCAGTTTCAGATTGTTTCATCACTGACTGTTTCTCTTCTTTTCTTATACAACACAGTGCTACAAAGTGACCTGTCTGGAGACAACCGGACCCCCTGGTCCAAAAGGCCACCGAGGACAAAAAGTGAGTTTCACACACACACACACACACACACACACACACACACACCTACAGTATTTATACACCAGTCCCTTTCATCCTCACAGACATTTTCTCCTTTTAACTCATTGACTGCAGGGAGCTAAAGGCGACAGCGGCGATCCAGGTCCGAAAGGAGAAAAAGGTCGCCCAGGAGACCCCGGTATTGAAGGTCCCATCGGTCAGCCCGGTATCAAAGTATGGCGCCATACCGCAACCTATTCACCGTTCACTGCAGCACACAAAATTATTAATTTTGTTTGTGATTATATCGTGATAAATGATTTTTCTTTCCCTTTTTTCCTCTCTATAGGGAGAACCAGGTCTTAAAGGCGACAAGGTGAGGCATCAGTTTGCATTTTTTTGGATCAACATCATCAACTGTCTAAGAAACAAAGAATCAATTACTGTGTTTTTATGTGAATGTTAATAAAGTGTCATATGGTGATGACATATGAATCTCTATATGTGCATGAAGTGACTGTTGATCTTCTGTCTGCCCACAGGGAGATATTGGAACTCAGGGGAAGAAGGTAGGTTTTTTTTTTTTCTATTTCTAATTAACTATCGAACCCAATCAGTCAATTATCCCTCATCCTGGAATGTGATTGGTCTTTCTCCTCTAACTGTCTCGTTTCCTTGTTGTTAGGGTGCTGGTGGCTTAGGAGGACGCAACGGGACCGATGGGCAGAAGGTAGGAACTGTGAAAGACTGAACTTTGAAGAGCAGTTTTTGTTGTACAGTTTAGGGAGCAACAACCCAATTACAAAAATATCATAATCTAATTCTGTAATCTAATTATTTTCTTTTTTCTTTTTTCTTTTTTTGTGTATTCTTGCATTATAGGGTAAAATTGGCAGGATCGGCGCTCCTGGCTGCAAAGGAGACCCAGGCGACAGAGTATGACATTTAACACAGTCTAAGATTATTGGTACACCCGTAGTGTGTTGTGTTATGGCCTCTTTATGGTGTGTGTTTGATGGTTTGCAGGGTCCCGATGGTCACCCCGGAGACGTCGGTGAACGTGGTCCTCCTGGAACTGATGGAGAGAAGGTAAATGGTCTTGTGTGTCCTCGTCAAACACAAACCTTCATCCATCAGGATTTTGGTTAAATTGTCCGTGTTTGTGTCCTGTCTTCAGGGAGATCCCGGACGCCCTGGTAAACCTGGTCTCACCGGCCCGTCTGGAGAGCCTGGACCAAAGGTAAATCGGTCCCTTCCCTGAGAGAGAGAAGAAGGCCAGATGTCATGTTAAACGTAGTGTCGTAGTGTTGGCGGTGAAAGGCTAACGTCTGGTATTTCTTCTGCAGGGAGAGAGGGGAAGTCCTGGATCACCTGGCTTCCCCGGCGGGAAAGGAAACTCAGTAAGACTCAGTCCATCGCCACAGACAGAAATACATTCAAACACATACTCACTCACACGCATCAAGTGGCTCACCTGTACATTGTGTTTCTTAGGGAACTCCTGGACTTCCAGGAACCAGAGGCGAGTTGGTAAGAACCTCAGATTCACCCCTGACCCCTTCTTCTGTCTGTCACTGTCTTTGTGTTGCCTGATGGTTTTCTAATCATTGTTCTGTTCTAGGGGAGAAGAGGGGATTATGGGGCAAAGGGTGGTCAAGGGCCTGATGGAATTAAAGGAGATAAGGTATGAGTCCATTTACACAATCGCACAAGTGTGAAACATTGTGATTTTTTTTTTGCAGTGGCTCAAATTATTCCTCTTCAGGTGTGTTTCACTGAGACATGTTATTCCACCACTAGAGGGCTCATTGCTGATGGTACTGTGTATTTCAGGGTGAAATGGGGCCAGAAGGCTTGAGAGGACTTCCGGGTGAATCAGGAAACAAAGGTACAAAGGTAAGAATGACTGTATTATTATATCTATAATCTGTATATATTCATATGGACATCACGCACTCTTGAGTTTCATTCCCATTCACTCCCGTTGTCAACACTCTCTCCTCTGAACAGGGAGACAATGGTCTGCCCGGCCCCAGAGGACCACCAGGGTTATCAGGAGAGGCTGGGAAAAATGTAGGTTGGAAGTAACATTTGGGCGTCGTATCAACAAGGGCCTCATCTAGCTTGCTTTAACACTGTTTGTAATGTAGGGTACCAGAGGTGACGCTGGTGATGTTGGGCCAAGAGGTGACCCCGGACAGGCTGGACCCAAGGTGAGTATCTGTGTGTGTGTGTGTGTGCGGTAGCATCTTCCCTGCACTGTTTCCAGCTTTGTGGCTGCAGGTCTTTGTCTTGACTGCTCATTTCGTCTCTATTCAGGGAGACCCCGGAAGACCGGGCTTTAGCTATCCTGGACCAAGAGGACCGTCGGTAACGTATACATGCACTTCGTCTCCTTACATTTGTTAGTTGCGGTGACACACTTGGTTGACAAAACTTTCCTCCACTCTTCTGCAGGGTGACAGAGGAGAGAAGGGTAATCCTGGACCTCGTGGCAGCAGGGGAGACTGTGGTCAAAAAGGCGAGCCTGGGGTTAAAGGTCCTCCAGGAGACAAAGTAAATAAGTCCTCGTAGTTGGTGTATGCTATCACTTGAGGAAAGTTTGTGAGTATAGTTACAGCTTTATGATTTCTTTGCTTACTAAAGGGTGATGCAGGATTTCAGGGTGAACCTGGCCTAAGAGGACCGAGAGGAGATACTGGACCTGATGTAAGTACACAAAACCTGCACATACGTCCACTTTTCCTTTCCACTCTACTGTCAAAAATCCAATTGCATCCAACCAGGAAAAGCCAGTCTAAGCCTATGTGGTCATATGTTTACCTGTATACTCATGAGCATTATCTGCTAGCCATCCCAAACCAGACAGGAGCCGAGAGACAGAGATGTGATTGTGTGCGTTCTTGTCCTCTACAGGGAGGTCCAGGCCCTGAGGGAGATCCCGGCCTCACTGTAAGAACATCTCCTCGAACCTCTGTTCCATCACTGGCACGTCAACAGAAACACTCAGAGGATGCAATGGATATAATGATGTGTTTTGTGTTTTCCTGCAGGAATGTGACGTCATGAGCTACATCAGAGAGACGTGTGGCTGCTGTGGTGAGTTCAGCAAGGATCGCTTTGCCATCCGTGATCCGAACGCTCTGATAGGCTGTCGGATCATTACAGTCTGTGTTTTTTTCTGCAGACTGCGAGAAACGCTGCGGAGCCCTGGACATTGTGTTTGTGATTGACAGCTCAGAGTCAGTGGGTCTCACCAACTTCACCCTGGAGAAGAACTTTGTCATCAACACCATCAACAGACTGGGATCCCTTGCCAAAGACCCCCAATCAGCCACAGGTGAACATGAGAACTGAGAAGGAGAATTAGAGTGTGATATTTCAAAATGGCTGCCAGCTTAAACACGTATAAACACGGTTGCTTGTGTTCCCAGGCACAAGAGTGGGAGTGGTTCAGTACAGTCACAATGGAACGTTCCAGGCCATCCGGCTCGATGACCCCAACATCGACTCACTGTCTGCTTTCAAGGTCTCACACACAGGCAGACACAAACAAAACGAAAAACCGCTTTGAAGCTTATTTTTAGGTCGTATCACAGTCTGTCCTTTTGCCTCTTTTGTCCAGATGTTTCGTAATTAATCAAGTCCGATCAGATCACATCTGCTGCTGTCTGCACACACGAGGCAGATGGAAGTCATCACAGTTACATATGTGTACATGTCTCGCTACATATATTTCTGACATTTACGAAAACATATAATCTGGGATGCACAAATGGTAGATCATCTTACTTCTTTTCAATGAACATGGGAACTGTAGTTTATTTAGAGTCGATCCCTACATACACTGTGCTGCTGCTGTAAATACGCTCTAAGACGTCAAAACTACGCTTCCAAAATATTTGAGGTAACTACTTTGTCCTTTTTGAAAATTATAAACTAATTAATTGTAACCTTCTTTTAAAGATGTATGTCTTCAGTAGGAGCCAACAGGCTTTGGGCTGAGTGCAACAGACAGGGCAGGTGGTGTTGTGTATATAAGTATTAAGAGACGCACAAACACAAACACACTTTTCACAGGAATTCTTGACATTAAGAAAAATTCAGAATAACAACACACTTATCCCTTAAGTTAGGTGTGTTTGTAAAAGGTAGGTCAAATATCTATTTGAACTAATATCTTGTGCGTTCATTTAACCTTTTTCTGCTAACTATGTATTTTGAGCAGATGTCCTCATATTTATTGACCTGACTCATAACACAGGGCGGTCGAAAACTGGAAAGTCTACTCGGAAGAGCATTTATGCAATCTGTGTAGCTGGAAGTCTGCTGAAGCTAATATGCTAACCATGCATTAGTACCTTTATGGATGGCAGTGACTAATATGCTTAATAGAGTCCTTATAGAAAACAAATGAATGGATCCCAAGTACTGCACATACACATCACTCACATGCGGCCTTATCCACTATTCAGAATGCAGTGAAGCGTTTGGAGTGGATCGCTGGAGGAACGTGGACTCCGTCCGCTCTGAAGTACGCCTACGACACCTTGATCAGGAACAGCCGCAGAGCCAGGGCCAATGTCACCGTAGTTGTCATCACTGACGGACGCTACGACCCTAGAGATGACGACTCACTGCTCACCTACCTCTGCCGGTGCCTGACACTGGGGCTGTACATTTTGGGGTTTAACAATTAGCATTTGTGGAGAAGATAAAAGTTTTACCTTGTATTTCTGTGTACTGCCGGTGACCAGTGACCCCAGTGTTGATGTGAGCGCCATCGGTGTCGGAGACATGTTCGACCAGCCTGAGGAGAATGAGAGTCTGAAGAGCATCACCTGCCAGAGGGACAAGAAGGTGCAGGGCATGAAGCGCTTTGCAGACCTCGTGGCCGACGAGTTCATTGACAAGATTGAGACTGTGCTCTGCCCAGGTACACTCTTTACAGAAACACACATTTTGGTCAGATTGGCTGTGAGAAGTTGTTTCAGTTTTTGACCAGATCCTCTGACTTTCTGTCTCTGTCTTTGGTTTCAGATCCTGAAATCGTATGCCCCGATCTCCCGTGTAAATCAGGTAAGATTTTGAAACATAATGCGTCAAATAAGCTTTGGCTTTGCTTTGTGTCCTGTTCAAAGTTTATACACGTTCTATCAACATTTAGGCCTGGATAACCAGTATTATTAAGGCGTCAGTATCTTTTAAACAAGGTGCTTGTTGGATTGTCAATCGGCGTGAACAAACTCATTTCACGTGGCATTTGGAGGTGAGAAAGTATGCAGGTTGTCTCTCTCAAGCTCTGTTTTTACATTCTTCACGCATCTTCTTCCATCACTTTTTCTGGTGCACGACCAAGTGTAACACGATGAATGAGGAAAGACTGTCTGAGTGTGCGCTGTTATCCCCTTTTGTACGATTCATCGTGTCTCATCCCTCTTTATGGTGGCAGGTAAAAATATTTTTTCATTTATATGTGTCCATATGTTTGAAGCATACTGACGCCTTTAATCTATTGCATTAGATGCACTGTGGCTTCAGCTGAGGTCAATATGTCTGTTGTATAGCTACTCCTCTTTTGCTATGGAACAATTGATTTATGTGGCAATACAACCAACAGACAAGACCAAACTTGCCTTTTTGTGCAACTCGTCGTACGTCCGGCGTCTTAGTTGGCTGTATTGATGCGTCGTGTCTGTGGGACCCCGCCCACAATGTTATTCCGCCCACTTGTTGCAGGAGGGGGCATCACTGTGGGGCAAGCCCCTCTCCCCTGGAAGCCACTGGCCGAAGAGGGCAACCCCACACTGGTCCCCACCTCTTTGGAGGGTGTGGCCAACCTGCTGAACGGCCTGAGCGAGCAGCAGTACGGGGTTGGCGTGGCAACCATGGCGTACACAGCCCAGAGAGCCAAACTCGCCCAGGGAGCGGACAGACAGCAGTGGACCCAGCTGTTCATCGACTCCTTCAAATATGTCTATGGAGACATTATGGGAGACCCAGAGAAAGCCATAGGACTCTGCTAATGCTAATATGCTAACCATGCTACCTCGCCAATAAGGCTGCCAATGACTAATAAGCTTTCTGCTGGACATAGAATAGATTTTATTAAGACTGTGGGCATTTATTTTAACTCTTTGGGTGCAATAAACACCTGGGCTGATGCATGATATGAAGCTGGCCCTGTCATAACACATAGCAGCAGCCTTATGTATGGTTACTGTATATGATGGGCCAAAAGTCAAAATGTGGATTCATGATGTTCCCTCACCTCATAGAGTATTTTTGATTTAACATACATAAGTGGCGCTGTCTCTCAGAAAAGTATGTCTGTTAGTAATATGATACATATCATTTCTTCCACCTTAGTGGAGGAACATTTTCCATTCACATGGAAAACGGATGTCATCCATTTGTTGGAGGCAGATTCCTGTGTAGAGCCATTCATGGTGCTCCTGTATAGTGTACAGTGGCTCTTTCATGAAGCCTCATTTCCACTGTGAATCATGAGCTCGCTGAATCACTCTGATGACTTTTCTTTTTTATTTTTATTTTGCTGTTTTGCACATATCCATGGTTACGGCCGTTACTTTTGTCTGTGAATGACTCATGTCGATGGAAAAGCCATTACATGTGGAAAATATCTGGTGTTATACATATCACAATATACAGTGCATGAGTCAGAAGTTGGTGTATGTAGATGTTTGGTTAATTGACTTGGCACTGACAATGAAGGAACTATTGTATGTTATGCCCTTGATTGGTGCATGTTTTTTTTTTCTTTTCTTTTTTTTCTTTTGTTTTTCTTGCATGTGGCTTGGCTTGTAAAGTAGGATGACTAGAGGAAAATGACCACAGAGCGGCTTCAACCAGATGTTATGGTATCATGTTAGCTCCGTGACTGCAACTTGCTGATGTGAACTATGTTGTTTTGTATAAGATGGAATGTATTCTTGTTTTTCTAATGTTGTTGCAAGATAATAAAATGGTAGAGCAAACTAAAAGTGCTTTCTTGAAGAGGCCACTTGGAAATCTGAGAGGTTTTTACAATAAATCAGACAAGCTGGACTGCAACTAGCATGTATGGAAGTATAGCATGTTACATCAAATTTTTTGCTGGCTTTGATCACTGAGCATCTGTGTTCCAGCTGGAGCTCATCGAACACCATGTTTGATGTAAAACCTTATGTATGTGTGTCTGTTCCAGAGCCTGCCGTGGCTACCTGTGTTCAGCGGCCAGTGGATTTGGTGTTCATGTTGGATGGATCTGAGAGGATGGGACTGGAGAACCACCGCAGGGCCAAAGAGTTCATCGAGAATGTGGCTCGCCGCCTCACCCTGGCCAACGGCGACTCAGACGAGAGGAATGCCCGCGTGGCTCTGATCCAGTACGGCAGCCCTACAGAACAGAGGGTGGAGTTCCCGCTCACACACAATCTCACAGTGATCGCTGATTCACTGTCACGTGTGAACTACATGGACTCCTCTTCTGCTCTGGGCAGCGCCATCATTCACGCTGTCAACAATGTGGTGTTTATAAAGGTATAACAAACACACACACTCCAATCAGTTGCCAATTAGCTTAGCTTCAATACCAGGCACATGGAGGAAACAGCTAGCTTGCCTCTGTTCATAAAGTGACAAACCCACCTACCAGTTACTCTAAAACTCACAAATTAAAACATATCTTGTTTGTTTTAAATGTAAAAACTTATATTAAAAAATTATGAGTTGAGGTTTTCTGGTGAATTACATGTGGGAAACAGGGACTGCTACGAGCCAAGAAAGAAGTTTTTCAGTTTTCAGTCTTTATGCTAAGCTAGGCTAATAGCCTGTTGGCTGTAGCATCATATTTAACATACATATATGTAAGCGGTATCAGTCTTCTCTCTAAATCTCAGCAACAAAGTGAGTAAGCATATTTCTAAAAGTGTAAAACTTTTCCCTTAAGTACAGAGCCGGAGCCTGGAGGTGATTAGTTCAGTTTAGCATAAAGATTGAAGGGGAAAACAGCTGATTCTCTCCAAAGTTCAAAAATACGACCGACAAAACCATTACCACACTGAATGTGTTTCAGCTGTACACAAAGAGAAATCATATGAAGATTTATGGTTAGCCGTTTTTCCCTGTTTCCGTCTTTATGCTAAGCTAACTTCCTCCTGTCTTAAGCTCCATATTAACGCGTAGATTTAAGAGCCATAATCAACCTCTCACTTCGACTACTGAAAGACAATAAGCTAATTTCCTAAAATGTTGAACTATTCATTTAACATTGTATGTTGTGTTTGTAGAATGAACGCCAGGCCCGTCGCAACGCTGAGGTGGCCTTCGTGTTCATCACTGATGGTATCACAGCCAGCGGGCAGCTGGATGAGGGCATAACTGCCATGAGAAGAGCGGAAGGCGTTCCCACGGTGATCGCCATGGGAACCGACACAGATGAAGAGGTGCTGCAGAAGGTGTCACTAGAGGACATGTCGGCCATCTTTAGAGGAGCTGACTACAACATGCTGAACAAACCCTCATTCTTTGAGCGCTTCATCCGCTGGATATGCTAGTGAGGAACTGTAACGCTCTACGCCATAGAATTAGAATCCATAGAATGAAAGAAGAACCTTCCTTCAGTGTAAACGTAAACACATCAGTCGTAATGATGAATGATCGATGTAAGGCACTGACATGGCTACATATACTGTTTTTTTTATTGGTGAAGACTAAATTGCAAAAGCCAATACAATACACGTAGCAGCAGCACATACAAAAACCTAGGCTCGTAACGTCATTTGAAATTTGGTTGTTCTATTTGTTCTAAATCCATGGTCAGCACTTCCAACCAAAGACACTCATAAGAATCCCAGAGATGAGGTGTATGATTATTGAATGTGTACGAAACAAATTATATGCTTTATGTTGTTTTTATTTTGTATTGAGTTTCAGTTTTCAGAAAAGAATTTCTCTCTCTCTCTCTCTCTCTCTCTCTCTCTCTCTCTCTCTCTCTCTCTCACACACACTCTTCAAAAAAATCACATTATTTACATTAAAGGTGCTAAAATAGAAAAAGAGGACAAAGCCATCCGACTGGTTCTGAAAGCTTTTTTTTTTACATCATGTTATGCTGTAATTACTGTAGTTCATTCAGGGGAATAAAAACATGCAGAGATGTCATCTCCAAGGAAACAAAATCACAAATAAGTGCCCCACATTCAACCACACAGGAATCACACGCATGCCCACATGAATGCACAAATACCGTCGTGTATTGACAGACATGCATAAAAGAACCAAATCTGTAAACATGAAGTCCAAATAAAGCCTAATGTGGTCACCCCAATACTGGGTTTTGTGTTTGCAATATATATATATGTGTGATTTGATCCATGTGCATTTGTCATTAAATCACTGTAAACTAAACAGCAAAGAAGTGGCTCTGGTAGTGACTGTAGTAAAGGAAGGAAGTATAGAAAACATACACAGTACAAACATACACACTTCCCACTACTGGAATATAATATTTATCCCCTCTCCATTTCATGCAGTCAAGTTTACAATTGGCTATTTGTGCATCTGGTTCCCTCTGCTGGACAGAGAAATACAAAGCACCAAATCTTCCACTGTATGTATGGATATACCTATTGTTGCAGGATAGTCTAAATTACATTTGGAAGGGAAATACTGTACTTTTAACCCCACTGCATTTATTTTACAGCTTTAATTATGAGTTACTTTGCAGATTCAGGTGATTAATATAAAACATAACAAATCACATAAAATCAACCTGTAGATTTTCACATATTCAGTTCTTTGCTCCACTTTTACCACCTGCAACGTTTAAGTAATATGTACATTAATGCCTCGCTAATTATAATCCAACTTTATCCAAAATGAGCCATTCTGTACTTTATGTAGCCTATTTTTACTTATGTAAAAATTTCAATGCATGTGCTGCTTGCTGCTTTTCCTTCAATAAACGCTCTGCTTTACATTAATGAATGACCACATGTTGTGAAGAGGTTTGTCCACTCAAGGATGCCGTAGGAGTAACGTGATCACAACTAGTGGGATGTTCGAGCGATTTTTCCTATCGAGTACGAATCTCACATGTATCGAGCACTTCGAGTTTTCAGGCCGCGAGAGTTCAGGACGTGTCGTCTGTGATGCTTTTAATTAATATGGTTGGCAGTTGGTTTGGTATCATATAAAAGCCGAGAAGGCGCGGGTTGTTGTGGGGATGCAGGCTATGGCTATTTCCTGAAGGCAAAAATGTGTAAGTGTAAAATCGATTCGTATCGAACTCGACAAACGTACGAGTAGAAAATAGTCGTTCGTTCATTTTGAACCAACTCTAACCACAACCTCTCGCATATCGGCAAAAAAATCACAATCACTGAGTGGTAAGTCATCTTTAATGATAAGTGACTCCGTCTACTTTGAACTTGCGTTTATATATATATTGAAGTGTCATTAATTGCCGAGAAAAAAAAAGTAGAGCATCTTAAATCAGGTCTGTTTGTGGAGACTTAAGTTTCATAGTAATAGTGGCTGTGTATTGTTTTTATTCTATTTTATTTTGGTTATTTAATGGTTTTTTATGTCATTTAAAGTTGGTAAGAATTCAGTGGAAGAAACTAAAAGCCTCTTGGTATTTAATTTTTTAAGGTTCAAAGGTCTCTACATTTACATAACCTGAAGCATTGCAACACTACACAGAATTGGAAAAACGAATTTGTGTGTGCTGATTTGCTGGTATGTTATTTATATACGTATCACATACCAGTTTGTCTATGTATGTTTGTTATTATAAGAATAGTGTCACTGTAGGACTAGTATGTGAGTTGAAGCCAGTCATGCATAAGGATTTAATTGCATGAGAATTATTATGTGTGTGTGTGTGTGTGTGTGTGTGTGTGTGTGTGTGTGTGTGTGTGTGTGTGTGTGTGTGTGTGTTTGCTCCAGTGCTGCCAGTATGGAGGGGGAGCCCCTCTCAGCCCTGTGCACCCCTGCTCTGGTGGTGGATGTGGACAAAGTGAAGAGAAATGCCCAGAGGATGATCGAACGCTGTCAGAAGCTGGGAGTCCAGCTTCGGCCGCACATGAAGACACACAAAACCCTGTACGAACACACACTCTCACACCCGCACAAGACGTTCATATAGCTCAGTCACATTTCGAGGATACTGAACAGGTCTGTCTCTGTGTGTTTGTGTGCATGTCTAGTGAGTGTGCTGACATAATGACAGGTGGATCACGGAGGTGCATCGTGGTCTCCACACTCGCAGAGGCCTGTTTCTATGCCGACCACGGATTTGATGACATCCTCTATGCATACTCTGTTCCCTTTGATAAGGTTCTCTCAGCTCACACTACACCTGTGTCCCTGCTCTCTTTCACACACAAACTACTGTATGACTGATGGTACATCAGAATCAGATTTGTTTGTCACTACCATGATATGCATTTCAGCACACAGCGAAATACTGTACCCCACAGATCAGGGTGCAGGTCACATTTAAAAACAACAAAAGACACGTTAAACACAATGCATAAAAACATAAAGGAGCATTAAAAACGTGTTTATAAGAGCAGCTTAAGATAAGATATAAAATATGTATAGCACATACTTAATATTTTAAGTATGTAGAATGGAAGTGGGACACAGCTCACCTCTTCCACTGGAGACATTACCCATCATAGCTGGAAAAGCACAGGTGCAATTAATTCATTTAACTAAGAAATCATCAAAACAGTGATTGATTCCTTTTATGCCAATTAACTGATCATTGATTATTATGGATATCAACCTGCAGATCAATGCAATTAACATTAATTTCACATAAATTCTTATAATTATTATATTCACTCTTTATGTTCCACTTGCATTCATTTATGTCTGTATATGTGTGTGGTTGCAGGTGGAGCGTTGTGCAGCCCTGTCAGAAAGGCTGGACCTCTTCCAAGTTTTATTGGATCATCCTGATGCTCTGGAGCAGCTCAAAAAGAGACCCCTGAGAGACGGTCGGCAGTGGCACGTCTGGCTGAAGCTGGACTGTGGCAATGGGAGAGGTAAACAGGTCGGGAAACCACTTCGCGGCCGGTCATCAGCAACTGAGCGCCTGCTGATTGTATGTTTGCTCTCTGTCGTAGCTGGTGTCCTGCACTCAGAACCCGAGGCGCTCGGTCTGGCTCAGGCCATCGCTGAGACGGAGGGTGTGCAGCTGACGGGGGTGTACGCTCACTGTGGGAACACCTATAACTGCAGAGGAGTGGAGCAAATACAGACTGTTGCCCAGGAAACCACCAGCTTGACTCTGCAGTTCATGGAAAAGTAAGACAAAAGTAAACTGGTAATGTTGTGTGCTACTGTAGTTAAGTTGTTGTTTTTTTTTTGAGGAAGTGCAGTTATTGTTCCCTCCTGACAAGTACAAGTTTCTTTGCTTCACAAAAGTCCTGTTGTTTTGCTGCTGTGATTGCAGAAGAGAGGAGAGTAAAGTTGATAAGAAAGAACTTTAAACTTGTGACACCTCAGACGGATTAACGCTACTTAAACCTTGCTTATTTACACTGACCACCTTTTCCTTATTAAGCTTTAATAGATTCATATTAACAATAATTTAAATAACTACGCAAAATGTGAAAGGTGTCGCATGCCACTCCTTTTAGCTCGTTCCTTTGTTTTTTTTTACTGTTTTGTTTCAGTCCCACCACCATCAACAATGTCTTTTCCAGCAGCAGCAGTTTTCAGTGGAAAAGCTCTGATAAACCTGCTGCTACAACATTGCTCCACGTCTCCATGGTTCATGTGTATATAACCACCTGTCAGCTTCTTCAGATAATATATCAATGTTAAGTTTACAGCTTGTTGGGTTTCTCCAAGTTGTCTGAAATTCAATTCATGCAGGTTTAAGTTGTTTGATTTTATTCATAGTTTTCACATTATGGGGAATAATTGGCCTGAGCAGATAGTTGTTACAAGTACACAAGCTTTTAGATTTATGTCTAATGAAATGCTGTATTGATATGATCATTAATTTTACGTCTCTGTGTTTGTTTCTGGCAGACTGAAGGCTGTTGGCATCACCTGTAAATCCAGCATTGGCTCCACCCCTTCCTGTAGTCACCCAGTCAAAGACATGGCGCAGCTCAGCGAGGTGCATCCTGGAAACTACGCCTTCTATGGTGTGTGGAAGGATGTAGATGTAGTTATATCAGGTTTCCAGTTGAACTCAGCATAATGGAAAAAAAAGAAAAAAGAAAACTGAGAGTCACCAAACAGCAGTGATCATTTCTGGTGTGTTTTAGATGTGCAGCAGTCTGTGATTGGCTCATGCAGTCTGGAGGACGTGGCTGTGAGGGTTTTGACAAGGGTCATTGGACACTGTCCTCACAGGAACCAGCTCCTGATTGACTGTGGATGGAGTGGAATCAGGTGCCTTCTTTAGTAGTTTTTAGTTGACTCTGTATTTGCAGATGGGACAGGTAAACTGCTCAACACTGTAGGCTGATACAAGATACATTCATGTAAATCACCACTACATTACTGACTGTCAGCTCTGTATTGAACATGTGATTTAAACTGGGCCCTGACATATTATTTCTCGCCACTCTCAGTCTGGATGGAGCTGGAAAACTTCCCACTGGATATGCTGTGATTGAAGGCCACCCGCACCTCAAGTAATGCTATTACTCTTACCTTTAATCTCAGTGCTCAATTTAAAGTGTGACTGAAGTTCTGATGAGAGACTTTTCCCTCCAGGTTGTTGTCTATGACGCAGGAGCATGGTAGAGTGGAGCCCATCTCAGGACCGCTGGACTACAGCAAGTACCCCCTCGGCTCTCTGCTCACACTGATCCCCTACCATGTAAGTTGTGTGCAGTGTGGAGCTAAGCTTACTGCTTTATCAGTTTCATTGTGTCACTCTCCTCTTGTCTGATCATCTCTGTTCATTCCTGTAGTCTTGTGCGACAGCAATGATGCACACCGTGTACCATGTGCACTCTGACGGCCGTCTGCTGGGGAGGTGGACACCCACTCGCGGATGGTGAACAGCTGTCCAACTGTTCACTAATACATAACTTTGTAAGGGTAGCTAGAAATAACACTGAAAGAAGGACTTCTTGAAGCAAGCTGTGACACCTCGTAACCATCACCTCTTCTTTCCTCTGTTCCTGTGGAGTAAAACATACGTATGAGTAGTAGAATTTAATTTCAAATTATAATTGTAGACATTTTCCACAACTACTGATTAAATAACAGTATTACTTTTGTAGACCTATTCCCTAAATGTCTTTGAAGTGGGAAAAGAAATGTAGAAAAAATACACACCTGTAAGCTTTTGAATGTTGAAATAAATCAAAGTTGCAGGACTATATTGTCTCATCATCATTTAATCAATGTCACTTTGTAGTGAAATGTATCAGTATATGCTGTGGCCGAGACAGAAGCAACAAATGCCAGTAGACGACGTATGTGCCCACTTGGTTAAAAACCAGTGAATGACAATGCAAATATACTTCCAGTTTCTGCATCTTACTGTAAACAGCCTTAGTTATTCCATATACCTTAATAGAGACCCTGTTTGATAAATGTGCACTTGTCTTTTTAATATTTACATTTTTGTTTTGTACATTTGTTATTATTATTATTATTATTATTATTATTATTATCATTATTGTAGTTGTTGATATTAAAAATTCATTCTTCAGTAATTTAGAAAATGTGAGCAGTGAGTAGTTTTCATGGCTGTATCTATGGGATGTATCCATGGTAGATTCGCAGTGCGAAGAGCATTTTGGGAAATGGTGTTTTCACTGCAGCGACCGTTGTGATTGGCCACCGTGTGACCTTTCACTTGTCACGTGGTTTAAAAACTTCAGGAGGATGGCGCGGAAAGTTGTCACACCACGTCTTAGTTCAGCTCGCAGGTCATGAGAGGTTTGTTTACATCTCCCTCGACTCATACTGACATTTTACCGAGTAAGTTTCCTCAGTTCCGATTTTGTTTATTTGTGCTCCGCTCCTCTGTTTGACTCTGTTGTTGTTGTTTGTTGTTGTTGTTGACCGGCCGCAGCGCTTCTCCGCTCCCTACACACTAACGTTACACCGGCTAGCTAACGGTCTAATGTTGTCACCATGAATGGCGGAACTTTGCTAAATTAAAAGACGTTGTTAGCGGTGTGTGTTGTCGTGTTGTAACCGTTGTTGTTGTTGTATTTCCCTTTAGTCATGAGTGTGTTGGAGGTGAAGTTCGTCGGGGATGGAGATGTCCTGGAGCACATCGTGGACAAACAGGAGGGTATGGACAACACAGTCACTTCTCCCGCTTACATGTTGGTGTTTATGAGGAGTGACCTGACCTCCCTGTCTCTCTAAACCTCCTGCCCGTGTGTGTTGGCAGGTGTGCAGAGCAGCGGCGGGTCTGTCCAGAAGATGGTCACGTTTAAGAGCCCGGCCGGACGGCGGGCCAGAGGGGATGCAGAGGGCGATGATGGGGAGGAAAACGGAGTCTGTGATGAGCAGAATTATATCCAGGCTTTAGGAGCAGACAACGCAGAAGGTGAGTGAGACAACTGTAATTTTTGAAACCCCATTATTCGTAGTAAACTGTGCTCATAGCCAACCAGTTCCAGGTTTATCTTCATCTCTCTTTGTGTTTGTAGAGCCCTATAGGGAATATACAACTTTATATTTTAGAGGGATGACTTCTTCTTCTTCTTCTTCTTCTTCTTCTTCTTCTTCTTCTTCTTCTTCTCCTTCTCCTTTTCATTTAGGATATTTTAAATTAACAGAGGGACTTCCACCTGCAGCCACATAGTGCAAAACAATACACCTAAAAATATGACTAGTGGGGAAGGATATTGACAAATCTATATTTAAAGGTTTTATGTTTTCTTATGGTTGATGTAATTTTAATCCACCTTAGAATATAACAAGTAGCAAGCGAAAGGTTTTGTTTTTGTTTTTTCTAATTTTCTTTATGCATTCTTTTTCTTTGTGATGCAATTGTTCAAAGTGTGAATTTGAGACTGTTATGTTTTATATGTTACCTACTGGTGCATCATCTTCCCCTAGTCGTTTGTTTTTCTGATGATATACATGGTAAAAACAGGCATGTAATGGCAAAGTTTTTATAATAGTTTTTCCTAAAATCTCTGGTTGCAAAAAACAATACACTTAGCTAAAAGTAATGCCGTCTAATACAACAACGGTAATAAATCCTACCTTCATTAAGGTTATAATGATGATAATATTGTTTTTGTTGGAACTGTTTTGGAGAGGTGTTGGTTAATCTTGGAGGCTGTGGGTTTTGGTGCTGTTGTACATGTAAGTCAGTGAGAGTAGACTGGGTTCACAACCAGTGTATTAACTATCATATTATCACAGATGGTCCATTGTGGAATGGTACAACGTACATTAGCATGAGTGCTGCTGATGATATAGAAAATAGTAATTGAAAGTGGTGTTGTATTATTTATTTTTTTTCTTGGTTTCACAGAGGATGAGGAGGGTTTGTCCAGAGTGGCTGGATCTTCCATTTTCACTTTTCAGAAAGTTAAACGCGGCCACAGCATGGCTCAGACTGGTGAGACCCTCTATTAGTCACACACTCTGCATCAGAGATACTCAAACCTTCTTGTATCGTGTAGCAACAACTAGATTTGTTATTATTAACTTGGTTTTTATTACACACTTTGTTTTTGTGTTTTTATTCATAGCAAGTGAGTTGGCACGGACTCCCGGGAAAAGTGTGACCTTCAGTAAGACTCCAAACGTTGAGCCCTCCACTCCCACCAGAACAGGCCGTAGTGAGTCCAGTACATCCTGCCTATGTCTTTGTGTACATCCTATCCAGTGTCCATTTACATACAACTGGGTCTATTCCTTCTCTCTCCCTCTCTATCTAGACCACAGAGGTGAAAGCAGGACGCCACAGAGGGTGAGACTAGGAGGCATTTTTCTTTTTGCTGCCATTTTCCTCTGTGGTGTGATGAGGTGGCTCTGCTGCTGTGTACTCAGTGTAAACTTTGCTTTCTGTATGACAGAGCAAGAAGGTCCAGTTTGTCTCCACAACACCTCACAGGCTCAGGAAGAGAATGACGAGTGAGTTTAACATGTGTGAACGTAGCTTCTCTTCCTGTTACAGTAAGTTATCTTAACTGAGACTTTAGCTGTTTTCTAAAGCTGTTTGACATTTTCAGCTCCAAGCCTTCGCTCAGACAGCGACAGTGAGCTGTCCCCCTCAGACTCCGGGGAGGAGGATGAGGATGAAGATGGGATAGAAGAAGAGCAGAAAGTAAAGAAAGAGGATAAGGAGAACATAAAGACTCCAAGAACATCTAGTAAAGGTTTATCTGCAGCTCTGTACAAGACACCTGCCAAGAAGAGCAAGAACACTCCTGAACCCCTCAACCAGCCCAGTATGGTTGAGGAGTATTTTGAAGCCCACGGCAATTCAAAGATCTTGACATCAGACCGCACCCTCGAGCGCTTACACACCCCTAAACTCGACAGGGTCAGTATATAACAGGCAGAAGTTTATATGTATTAATGCTGCTTTCCCAAGTTTTTTGAGATAGTTGTTGTTTTGCGTTTGCAGGAGACGCTGGTGCAGCTTTTAGAGGGGAAGACCTCCTGCTACTCCACAGAGATCCAGCAGCTCCACAGCAAACACCGAAAGCACTTTAGCAAATGGATGTTTCAGTTACAGTGAGTGCGGTTTGCCCTTTTTTGTACTGAATGCTTTTTTGTAGCTTTGTGGTTTTTGCATGTTAAAATTGGTACAAGACAGAAAGCGTGTGCGTGTGTGTGTGTGTGTGTGTGTAGGTTAGGCTTCAGTGTGCTGGTTTACGGTCTGGGCAGCAAAAAAGCTTTGCTGGAGGACTTCCGTGTGTCTCACTTGGCTCAAGAAATCCATCTTGTGGTTAATGGATTCTTCCCTTCCATTACTCTTAAATCAGTTAGTATCCTACACATTTATATCAAAAATAAAACCTTAAATAAAATAGGAGCAAGTGGATCAAAAGTACAAATGACACTCGTCCATTTTCCTTATATTTGTTTTCATTGCAGATATTGAATGCTCTGACATGTGAGGTTCTAGAGCACCAGGGAAGTTTCCGAACACCCTCAGACCAGATCCAGTTCATCGCTCAGACCCTTAAAGACAGTGAGTGTGTCTCTGTTATATAGTTTGTGTTGAAATTATGTGTGTTTTACAATTAAGCGTGTCCACGCAGGCCCAGATCTCCATGTGTACCTGATAATCCATAATATCGATGGGCCGATGCTGCGAGGAGAGAAGACCCAGAGTGCACTGGGGCAGCTGGCATCTCTCCCCAACCTGCACTTAGTGGCTTCTTTAGACCACATCAACGCTCCACTGGGTAGGTGTTTGTAAGTGTGTCTACTGCAGAGTTAATGGTGTTGAAATGCATCCTTGAAGCTGAATGTCTCCTGTGCGTTCCCAGTGTGGGACCAGTTTAAGCAGAGTCAGTTTAACTGGCTGTGGTGGGAGTGTGTGACGTTCCAGCACTACACAGAGGAGACGTCGTATGAAAACTCTCTGCTGGTGCAGCAGACTGGCGCGCTCGCTCTGTCCTCCCTCACACACGTGCTCCGCAGCTTGACGCCCAATGCAAGGTACCGCATTCATGTTGCTGCAATGAGCTGTTAAAGGCCTGGTGCTTCTCTTCAGCTTTTCATGGTTGTGTCTTTTATTTTTGCAGAGGAATTTTCAAACTGTTGGTGCAATTTCAGCTGGAAAACAAAGACAATCCGTCATATACAGGTGCACACACACATTCAAAACAGATTTTTCTGTAAAATGTGATGTATTTGTGATGTGATTTTTAATGTTCTCCTGTCACCGTGTGCAGGATTGTCATTCCAAGATTTCTACCAGCGTTGTCGAGAGGCGTTCTTGGTCAACTCTGACCTCACGCTGAGGACTCAGCTGACTGAGTTCAGAGACCACAAACTGATCCGGACACGCAAGGTGGAGCCGTGTTTCATTTTAGACGTCTCAACTCCTACTCAGTGCCATTACGCTGCAGCATCTAGGTGTCTGTCACTTACATTTACTCCCATGATTCTCCAGGGCGCAGATGGAGTGGAGTGCCTGATCGTCGCTGTGGACGCGAGCACGTTGATGGATTTCCTGGAGAACGAGGAGGGTGACTGAGAAGAGGAGGCTTTCGACCTCACGTGTCACATACAATTCATGAACTGACAGTCCCAGCCGTCACTACATCTGATATGAGACATGCACCCAGCTTCCAGGCTCTGCACAGTTTAAATTAATGGTTTAAATCAGATCACTGATGACATGTCCTATGAGTTGTCCTAAATGCCCCTTTTGTAGCACTGTGATATTCACACTCTGCTACTGAATGTGTACATGTTTTCTGCTAACATCTGTGTAATTAAATTCAACACTGAAAGTTAATGTATTGCAATTTATTCTTTCTAATTAGAGAAATAGATTTACAGATAGCAAAACATACATTCTTTTGTTCTTACAAGGCAGATAGGCATGCTGCATTAAAAGAAAAAAAAAAAAAAGCCAAAGCCAAGGAAATTTTTCAGTACTCTTCCACATGTGAAAACTGGACCACAAAGACAAGCGGTCAGTGAAGTCACGTCACGTGCCATGCTTAGTGGAATCAGGAGGTAACAGGAGGGAGGGTGGGGGGTGGTTAGGACCTGTTTCTAATCTCTAAGGATGAGATTTTGGTTTGGACGTGGAAAAGGGAGTGAGAGGTTTGGCCCTGAGTGCAGGCTGTGCAGTGTTTTATTGTGTGATGTCAGCGGTTTTCTGTGTCTGCAGTGAGTCTTTTAGTGTCTCTGAGTCCAGTGTGTAAGTGTGGAGCCGGTTCTGTGTAGCTGTGTGTACGATGCGAAGCTCCTCTTCATCCAAATCGTTCAGCAGCAGCAGAACTGCATCGAGAGTGTGTGACTGAAAATACAATCAAAGTGATTAGTTGTTTGCGGACTTGAATAGAAAAATCAAAGTCCTTTTGAGTTTTAGGGAAGCACTGTTCAGAGATGAGACGCTACCTTTTTCAGAGACGATCTGCTTTCTCTGGTTGATGGAGAGGAGAGAGAGGGGAACTTGTCTCTGGAGAGGGGCTTCATCCCCAACTCTTCCCTGATTTTACTGAAAACAAAAATCAAGAGGAAATATGAGAATATTTTATCTTAATATGTCTACATTAATTTGACAGTTTTTTTCAGCCATGGAAAGTTTAACTTCTGTGAATGTTAATGTATAACTGTAAGGCTCACTTGGTCTCCTCCATGTTGTAGTTGAGGGCGTCATTCTCTGTCTCTGCTTCTGGAAGTCCGTTGGAGGAAAGCTGGTTTTGGACACTGCCTGGGGGGGTGGTGACGACTTCACCCTCCATGATAGCTAGTGAAATCTCATCCTCTGTCACTGCTGCACACACAAAACATACACACATATAGGTATGAGGTGCTCAACACTGTTACACATTTACAATTTCATGACAACTGAAATTTGGAGGGGGGGGGGGGGGTTGCTGCAAAGATGCTGCACACTCACGCAGGTTGTCCAGCCTCTGGAGACGAGGGAGGCAGCGCAGGACAGTCAGGCGATACTGGCTGGACTCGGGTCCACAACAGGGGTTCTCAGCCAACCAGAGCACCTTGAGACTTGTCAAGGAGCGCAGATGAGAGAGCTCAGAGAGAGAGGGGATCATATTCCTCCTCAGGTAGAGCTCACACAGAGACAGACAGCCAGCCAGAGGAGCGAGAGACGAGATGCGGTTGACACTAAGGAGAAAGAAAGAAGGTCACCGCCAGGATCCAATAGTCATCCAAAAATGATTCAGCGCAAGCGTCACAGTGCGGCAGTGTGAACAGTAACGTGGCTGTTTGTGTGTCAGACCCACCTCAGTGTCAGCACCTTAATGTTGGGCATTTGAGAGAAGATAGAAATCTATAAAGACAGGGTATACAGGGAACGCTTGTATTATAACATACATAAAACTGCAAAAAAAAAAACAATAAAAAGAAGAGTAACTAAGTCGATTACAGCATAAGTACTAGTTTCAGTGTCCCAACAAACACGATCTGAACTGTATGACTACTCACATCAGTGAGGTTGCATCCCCTGGAAAAAAAAAAAAAAAGGGAAACGTATCGTTACCACAAATAAGAGATATACAAAAAAAGATGCACCTGCCAAACCTGGACCATCAGCATGCAAAGTAAACACCATCTAAAATAGTGGTCTGCTAAAATTTAAACACTTACCAGCAGTTCAGTTTTTTCACGCTTTCCAAGTCGGAGGCCTTGGCCTTAGCGAGAACCAGTTTCCGTGTTAGCTTCATAGCTTATCACCGAACTTAGTCGACAAGAAAGAATAATTTTAATGCTCTAGATCTGCGCAAACAACAAAGGCCGCATCATGACAAGCTAAGTGGACAAACATTTCAACTCAGCAGCAGGGATGTTGTCGTCCACCACATTGATACGCATGCGCGTATCTACTGAGGCGTCCTTAGTTACGGATTTCCATTTCCTTTATAACTTTCTGTATTCTCTGACTTAGTTGTTCATTGTTGTTAATGCTTGTAAATTTGGTATAACAAAAAAAACAAAACACTGTATTTTCCTATTTGTTTAGAATGGAGTTTAAAAAATTATGTATTAGTATGTGCATTCTTAGAAAACTCAAAGTCCCACAATGCAGCGCAATGCGACCCAGTAAATCGCGCCTGCGCCGTAAGCAATCCCTCTTTGGACCTACGTCTCCACTGAAACGATGGTGAGCGAAAATGTCCCCTTCCCAATCCGTGTTAATCTAACGTTTTCTGTGCAAAAATTATACAATCACACATTCGGAGGTTTTAAGGTGTCCTCCTTTGTCACACCAGAGTCTTTTTTGTGTTGGTTTAGTGATTGTATAAACAGAAAAAACGATGTTTTCATGTCCCGTTGAGACAGAAATGGCTGCCACCATTGCTAAACTCACTTGAGTCCAAGTACCGGGCGGGCTAGTCATGTTAGCTTGCTGTTGGTCATTAAATCGTATGTCCCGTGCTCGTTTATGGACCTGCACTTTTTAAAGTGAAGAGCAATGGCACGCTTAATGTTTAAATAAGAGTCTGTTGCCTCTAAACCTTGTCGAGGGTTGTTGAATTGGTTGAAGTTAGCTAGGTGGCTAGCTTGGTAAGAAGTAGCTTGTGTAGGGTAGCTAGTTACCCACTGGTGACAGACCATAATTCCGCCTTATTTTACGTGTTTTGCTACGTACAGACAGCAAATGTGTTTAATACTTAAGTGATATGACATGGTGTTACTCCCCTGTACATTACGCTGTCAATCTTTGATGTTTATAACCCCTTTGGCTCTATGAACGGGTTTATTTAAACTAGTTGGATAGTCAGAAATAGTACTGCTTTAAGCTAACTCTTTACCCCTATAACATCAACACAGTTAAGAAGTGTCAGGAGTATTACCCCAGTGTATTGCTAGTGTTTGTTGTATCTCACTTTGTGTTCATGTTGTTCACAGGCCAAGCGCACCAAGAAGGTGGGGATCGTTGGTAAATACGGCACGCGTTATGGCGCGTCGCTGAGGAAGATGGTGAAGAAAATTGAAATCTCACAGCATGCAAAATATACCTGCTCTTTCTGTGGCAAGGTAAGGACAGCCCAAAGGATAACTTTAAGACTGTGCTACAACTAATTCATGATGTTATGCAGAAAGCACTGTACACATTAAGACCTTAATATCTGTTTTTAATGTGCTTCATTTATATTTACAGACCAAGATGAAGAGGAGGGCTGTTGGTATCTGGCACTGCGGGTCCTGCAAGAAGACTGTGGCTGGAGGCGCCTGGACTTACAAGTAGGATTCATTTTGTGAAGTGTAGATTAAGCATGCAGCCTCATCTGGCAACATGTAACTGAAATTGTTGCTGTTTGTTTATAAAAAAAAAAAAAAAGAAAATTCAGTTTGAGGGCTTTGTCTTTAACTGTTTTACGAAAGGACTGCTCCACAGACAATCACATTTTTGCTTTTATGCTGATGCAAAAATGATGATGCCTGTCTTTTTGAGGACAGCAGCCATGTTTTTCCTTTTTAGAAATTGAAAGGAATCAGTTATGACATTCGTGGGAGCAGTGGATTTAAACAGATGTGGAAGGCATTCATGTGGCTGTGTCATTTGGAGAACTGTAAATCATCCAGTGCAACGCCTACTTGAAATAATATAGCCGTGTCCTCACCAGACCATAATATGGAAAATGAAAGTTGGATTTTATGCAAACATCAATATTATTCTATTAAACAACATCAGAGAGAACCACAAAGCAACTTTTCAGTGCTGTCAAATTAAGCATTCCTGTGCTTAGATACCTAATTGCTGATGAACTGAAAGGGACTTCTGTCTGGAAATCTTTTTTCTGTATTACTGAATACTAATATAAAGATGTTTAACAAGTTCAGAGTTAGAGGACCTAAGTTGAAACTGTTGTTTACCTTATAACTTTGCATAACCCTAATCCTCAAATTTGAAAATTACAATTCAATGAAATAACTTTAAATCCACCACACAAGAGATTTCCTTTTCATCTTTGTGTAAATGTGGCAGATGGCTTTGAGGTGTCTTAAGTTGTTGTAAAATGCACCTTTTGTAAGTAATGTTGTGTTTTTTCTTTTCAGCACAACTTCCGCTGTGACAGTGAAGTCCGCGATCAGGAGGCTGAAGGAGTTGAAGGACCAGTAAACCAATGCGATATTCGCTGGTGGATTTGGGACTTTATTTTCTATAATTTAACCGACCTGGACATGGCCACAACGTCCAAAAATAAAGCAGTCTGGAGCGGAACCCTTTGTTTGTGTCTTTGTACATCTGTTTATAATGTAGCAGTAGAATCCAAATGTGTGTTTTATTTAGAAGAAATTTTCACTGGAGCTCAGGCTGCGGATAGTGTTATACTGTCAAAGGCAGTACAACTGTCCCAGGCTGACAACAGAAGAAAGAGGTTCTCCTCCCCTGTGATTTTTTGTCAGTAAGCACTTAGACTGCTTTCATGTAGCAAATTAAATGAGAAACCCACAAATTTACAGGCAGTCAGGTGTGCTGTATTTACCCTGTGGACAATAAGGTGAAGCCTTTCAGTTAGAAATCACTTGGCTTTTCCTGTTGAAATTCCCAGCACTTAAAATGATACTGTTGACTAGAGCAGAAGTTGAGGATAATTCCCTCAAAGGATCAACTGAAAATATAAATCATTCTATCTGTGCCAGATCCAGAGCTCTGGTATTATGTGTCATCTCTGTTGTGACTTAAAAGGCACAACTAAATAAAACTGAGCCATTGCTAGTTACTGATTATTCCTGTGTATTTACTGCAATGGCCAGTCAGAACTTCTGCCATGTAAAATATTACTGCTACTATAAGGGGTCAGTATTTATACATGTCAGAGTGAAATTTGAATATTCTTTGTCATGATAGACACATTACACTTAAGATACCAGAGCAAAGCGGACCAAGATATTGTGACATTGTCATTGATGGCACTTAGTGTATGAATATGAAATATTCTAATAAGTGAAGTTTTTTTTTGTAATTAAAAGTGCATCTTGAACTTCAGCACAAATAACAAGCGTACATATAAAAACAAAATTATTGTCAAATGAATTTTTAGTTTTTTTAAAGTTTCGCTCCAACAGAAAGAAAATTGATAATAAAACATGTTATTGTCTATCAAAAATAGAAAATATCAATTTCATTTTTTGATCAACATTCGTTGTATATTTATATTTCTGTTACATTAAATATCTGTCGCTTAATATCAAGTTTAGGGGAAAAAATAATTTACTTTTTTTAAAAACAATATATTAAGCACTGTGTAGTCTGCATACAGTATGTGTTGAGAAGCATGAACCTTGTAGAACCCGGTTTCCTCTGAAGGTGGCAGCAGAGCAACACCACAGACATCAGCTGCCGTAAATCTTCCAGCAGAGGGCGTACTGTCGTAACTCACTTCAGCAGGGTGAAGAAAGAAGTATGGCGGCTTCCAGTGTTTTCAGACCGGGCTTGTTCAACCACAAAGTTGCTGTAGTAACGGGAGGGGGCACCGGTATCGGTAAAGCCATCTCTGCAGAGCTGCTGGAGCTTGGTGAGTGTCAGACTCAGTGACTTCAGTCTTATTTGTTCACAGCGCAGACGGTCTGAAGTGAACAGCAGCAGCTGACTGACACTGACCACAACAGCCGAATGAACTTCGCCACAGATAGACAGGAGACTTGCACTGTTCACGTCTGACCAGCAAAAACCTGCACACCTGTGACACTATTTTAATACGGCGGAGGCACACTGTCAACATAAAGTAAAGTGTGATAGAAACTAGGGCTGAACGATTAAATCAAATCACAATATGACCAAGGGCAGTATCCACTTAAAAAAGGTAAAATGATCTGCCACAACATACTAATATGAAAGAAGCATCGCGGTGCTACAGAGATTCAGGAGCCTTACAAAAAGTTTGCATATGGTTCAGCCCTAATAGAAACATTCACTGTGCGTGGAAATATATCTGAAAAAAATCCTAATTTAATCACAGAATCTGCTGCTCTACCCTGACTTAATCTGATTTCAGACATTTACTCCATCCTCGAAGTTTGTCTTTGCTGAATAAATACAGAAAGATCACTTTTATATCTTGGCCTGACACGATTTAAACAAACAAAAAAAGAAATCCACTGCAACTCCCACTTCCACTATATATATATACTGTATATATTCATCCATATAAACAAACTCTCAGCAACATGCATTCAGAGTGTCTGTGGTGACTTTATTCCCAGTAATCACACCAGATAACCGTATAATAACTTATTAATCATCAGTTGTTGCGTGTCAAGGTGAGCTGACTGTTCTCTCTTCAGGCTGCAGTGTGGTGATCGCCAGTAGGAAGGCAGAGAGGCTGGAGGCAGCAGCTCAGGAGATGAGACAAAAAATCCCTCCCTCCAGCCCTGCGTGTGTCACTCCCCTACTGTGCAACATCCGCAACGAGGATGAGGTGGGCCTCCTAACACACACACGTGCAACCTCTGAAACTGCTTCATATTCATATTGCCAGTGCATGATTGCATGATTATATTATGTAATCTCCCTGTGCTGCAGGTGAAGGATCTTGTGTCCTCGGTGCTGAAGCAGTACGGCCGGATAGACTTTCTGGTGAACAACGGAGGGGGTCAGTTCAGCAGCCCAGCGGGGCACATGTCCTCCAAAGGCTGGAAGGCGGTGATAGACACCAACCTGACCGGGACCTTTCACTGCTGCAAGGAGGGTGAGCTGCAGGCAGCTAACACTGTGAGTGTGTTTGAAGTTCTCAGTGTGACTGAGTGTTGCTGTGCTATCCCACACAGTCTACACTGCGTGGATGAAGCAACATGGAGGTGTGATCGTCAACATCATCGCTGACATGTGGAAGGGCTTCCCGGGCATGGCGTAAGCACCACCTCCTCCCAGTTTCACACACAAATGTCCAAACTCACATACTCTTTTCCCTCATGCTGAAACACTGCCTCCTCTCGCTGACAGCCACACGGGAGCAGCAAGGGCAGCAGTGGATAACTTAACAAAGAGTCTGGCCATCGAGTGGGCAAGCTCAGGAATTAGGGTCAACGCTGTGGCACCGGTACGTACAGGTCATGAGTTAGTGCAGAATCAGTTTTTGAGTTCTTTGATCATGTGGTCATGTTGTCTGGTTGCAGGGTACGATCTTTTCCAAAACTGCGATGGAGAACTACAAGGAGCTCGGACCAAATCTTTTCAAGATGTCTGTTCCATTTAGCCCTGCAAAGAGGCTAGGAGTCCCCGAAGAGGTAACTACTTAGTGGCACCCACAATGTGGACTGCAGCTTTATGTCTAAAATGTCAAAATATTATCCAAATCGTAATATGGCCGAGGGCATTATCGAAATCCCATATGACAAAAGGTCAAATGTGTCACAAACATAAATGAAGCGTTGTGGTGCTACAGAGACGCCCCGGCCTACGAATCACATTCTCCACATGTAAGAGAACAATGCACAACAATGTTTTTTATTTTGGTACATCGTTCAGCCCTATTAAAATAGTGTTTTAGCCATGCATTGCTGTGTTCTTAAAAGTAAAACTTACACAGAACAATCCAAGCTTTACATTGATAAAGCACAGAAAGGAACTGGAAAGATTTACCACAATAAACTATAACATAATAATAAAGTATAAAAAAATTATTGTACAGGTGCAGCCAATGAAGTGGCAGCTGACTGTATATGACAATTTATGCAGCAGTGTAAGGTATCATGAGTCACACTACTGATTAAAAACCCCACACTGGAAGAACTGGTGTCAGACAAATGAAGGAAATTGTTGTCAGGTCATGTAATATGATAAGAACAGCGGACAGCATAGGTGAGAGGAGGTGGGCAGAGAGTCATAGATACTGAGGATGCGCTGTGTGACTGTAGTATCACAGAGACTTATTTCAGTAACTTTTTCTCTTCTTTGTTGTTTCTACTTTCAGATCTCATCAGCAGTGTGTTTCCTGCTCTCTCCTGCTGCCTCTTACATCTCTGGAGCCACACTGAGGGTTGATGCAGGACAGAGTCTTTACCACTCCATCTGGGAGATACCCGGTATGTATAATACATCCACACTTTGGTCTTTGCAGTGTGGTGTTCTAACTTCCTGTGTGTGTGTGTGTGTGTGTGTGTGTGTGTGTGTTTGTCTCCAGACCACAGCGCATGGCCTGAGGCTCCAGAGGGAGAGAACCTGGATGCTCTGAAGGACCTGCTCAAACCACAAAGCAAACTCTGATGCAGCTCTGTGACATAGTCTGAGCCTAATGCATAAACGCACAAGCCATTAAGCATCATGGATGTTGAGCTGTACAGACCCCATAAGGCATTTTAATTAATCACCATGGTGGCCTGGTTATTAGATGGTTGGATTTATAATGCCAATCTTGTACATAATTGTATGTAATTAACAGTAACATGAGAGTATGATTAGTTTCCTGGACAATGATGTATGACATGAACTGTTGAAATGTATGAAGAGTATTTTTTTCTCCAATGCCTTTGTCAGTTGGTAGTAAACACAATAGCTACAAAGCGTTTTACAAAAGAAACAAGAAAACAGAAAAAAAATCACTGATTTAGTGTCTCTGATGCAGCAAAGTCAGGAACTACAATGTAAAAAGCAGGATTGTGTTCATTATCTATACTTTGGATTTAGTTTCTGCAGGCTCTGCCTTTTTGTTTCAGGGGACTGATCATGTAATTCTAGATTTCTAGTTCTAGATTATTCATCAAGAAGATTCAGTAAAAGGGATCAGGTGCCTTACATTGAGTGTTACCATCAATGTTACTTTTAACATCTTAATGTAACATGTTACAAAATATCTTTTTATAACATAATGAGACATTTTCTTCTTTAAATTTTAATGTAATGTTCATTCAAATGAATAAAACTTTGGATTATAAAATAAATAAAATATTTTTATCATTAAATGTATGTCTGGGGATGCAAAGTTTATTTTAAAATAGTGTACAGGCTTGATATTTTAAAAAGTATAAACATTAAGAAACAGTTAAGTTATCTTTGGCTGTCCTGATCAGAAATAAATACTTAAATGTGTAGTCTTAATTGTACATTATTAATATTGTGTATAATTTTGTAATGTTGACACAGATACTGTCTTATCGTTTGCATAAAAGATCAGGCTGATATTGCATAATAAATGAGCACATATATTCTTGTTTATTCATATATATATATATGCACTAAATTGCTGTACTGGTTTCATTTTGTTTTTCACTAAAGGAAGATGTCAAAACGCCTTCTCAAAAAGACGCTTTGGTATTTTGGCCCGCACGCCGTGCCGTCATTATGCCGCAAAAGATTGCTATCTGTCGTAAGCTTTAGTCCAGCAGCAGAGGTCACAACAAACCACTCAGGTACGCTGTGTTTTCTTCACAATAACTTACATTTTCAAGGCACATTTCGGAGCTGTATCACATTGGATGGCAACACTATCTTTACACATATGAAGATGTAAGTCAAATAATGCGTCGTCGAACAAACGCAGCAATTGTATTCATGAAACGAGAGAACGTAGCTAGCTGAGCTAACGTAATGCTAGCTGAGGAAACGCTGTCTACCTCCACCACACAGGAGTGTGTCTGCACTTTAATCACTCTGATAATCAGATCGTTTTTTTTTTTTGGGTCGACAAGTTAACTAAATGATCAATGACAGCAACTGGTTTCAGATAGCCATTCATTGTTAACTTATGGTCAGACGTGTCAGATGTTCAATAACGTACAAGTGTAACATGTAAACTTCATGCATTCAAGCATCTTTAATATCTAGTGGGAATGCTTCTCTTCATTCGGCTTTTTTCTTATAACAGCTTGATCGGGGGTCTTTCTGTCTGCTTGGCTTTGTAGTGTACTGGGACCTCCTACAGGCGCCAGCGTAACCTAATTAAAGGACCAAAAAAAAATCATCCTTATTCAGTCAACAACATGCGTTGACGTTGTTCAACGGAGCAGTACAAAAAACTCCCAAGTAGCAAAGCAACGAGTATCCTATTGTAAGGACAAGTGAATTACCCAATATAATAATTAATTAGTTATCTTATTTATGTGAATTGATGATTATAAATTGTTAATAACAATTATTAAGACAAGAAAAAAATGCTTATTCAATAGGCTAAAGAGTACAAAGAGTTCAATAAATAAAAGGCAATATGTCTCAGTAGTCAGAACATTAACTCAGTTGCATCATGCAAACTAAAGAATAACAGGATTTCAAGTCAGATACAGGCTGCATTCAAATTGTAGAAATTTTATTGTTCCATGAAGTGCAGATGGCGTACATTATATCAGTCTCACACACTTTGTAAAACTGTTTTTAATGAAAATCGGTCGATTGGCAGCCGATCAATCGGGGCATCCCTATTTAGGGTCATTGTGCTGCTGCATCACCTTCCTTCTACTGAGCTTCAGCAGGTGAACAACAGCCACCCTGATATTATCCTCTGATAGACTTTGATAAAGTTGGGAATTCATTTTCCCCTCGATGATGTCGAGCTGTCCAGGCCCAGAGGCAGGAAAGCCCCAAATCATGATGCTCCCTCCATCATACTTGACCTTTGGGATGATGTTTTCGTGTTAGTATGTAGTGTCCTTTTTACATCATACATAGTGCTGCATGTTCTTCTCAAACAATTTAACCTTAGTTTCATCATCAGTCCATAAAACATTTTCTCAGTAGTGCTGTTATGGAGTGCCAAGATGTTCTTTTGCAAACTTCAGGCATGTATCTGATGTTTTTTTTTGGAGAGCAGAGGCTTCTTCTGTGCTGTACCTCCATGGTTCAGTGACTTGCATTTGAACAGAGACGTTAATCGGCTCCAATGATTCCTTTAAGCCTTTATAATGGAAGAGTAGCTACAGAACTAACATTATTATTATTATAAACATTTATAGTTTGTCTGGACTGATAAATATTTAAACTCTTTGAGATTACTATGTAACCCTTTCCAGCTTCATGCAGATCAACAATTATAGATCATAGGTCTTATGAGATCTCTCTTTTGTGAGGCACTTTTAACATCCGCAGATGCTTCTTGTGAACGGCAGACCCAAAGCTTCATTGACTTGACTCCAGTTTTGATAACTCCTGACACAATACAACTAGTTCAAAGCTAAGGGCTAAAACAAAATCAACACACTTGTATGTGTATCTGTTTTCAGTATGGGAGGTGACCACGGCCACAGCAAGCTGTCCATGCCAGACTGGCGGCAGTGGAAGGCAGAGGGGACACCACTGGAGTTCACACAGCAGAGGCTGGCAGCCAGGGGCCTGAAGGACCCATGGGCACGGTCAGTATTTTTACACACATGAGATATAGCTGACTTCATTATGTATACAGTTTGATTCCTGACACGTCTTTCTCTCCTGTCACTCTGTAGTAATGAGGCATGGAGATACTCAGGCGGCTTCGCTCGCGCCGTGACTCTGTCAGATGTTCTGCTGAAAGGATTCAAGTGGGGCTTTGCTGCCTTTACTGTTGCTCTGGCTGTAGAGTACGCCCTGTTCCCACCGAAGAAGGGTGGCCATTAATACTCATCATTGTCCTCAAGACCATAATGGAGTATAATAATATTATGTATTTTTCTGTTTATTAAATGTCTTTTTGATCACTAGATGGCTTCACTGATTCTTACACCCTTTCACACCTTTAAATCATCAACAGTTTGAATGACTTTGTTTTAATGTTTGAAAGACAATCATGAGTTTTTAATCTCCCCATACAAACACTGTTAACGAACCCTTAACAAACACTCCTGTCTGAGATTAAAAGCTCAACATTGTCTTCATCTCTGTGTTACTGCACAACCTGAAGGTGCAAAGGTAGCACCATGCTAGTCCCGTTTCCTCTTCCTGCTCAGTTTGCGGAAGCATAGTTTCATGCATTTTACTATCAAAATGCCAAAAAGCAGAACTACGCTAGCTAGTAGCGCTATTACATCCAGGCAGAAGTACTGGATCCAGTTGAGGTCAATGCCAGCAGGTTTAAGATGTTTAGCCCCTTTGTGGCGCATCACATACTCTGTCCAGTACACTGACAGGTCGAGTGGCTCAACTGGCCGGTCTTTATGGAGAGCTGACAGCTTCTGCACATCTTCTTTATACCTGGACACACACAAACAGACCAGGAGAGTTTAAGAATACAACACCAGAATATGATGGTATCAAAAGCAGATCCCAAAACTGATGCAAGTGACGCTCCGACCCCTCACCTGACGTCATGTAGGACCTCATTCAGTCCCTGAAGGAGGCTTTCAGTCGTGATGGAAAAAATATCCACCACGACTCCGGCTCCTTTATCTGCCAGCCTTTGTGCATTGTGATGCTGGTCTGCCCCTATTGGCATCATCACCATGGGAACAGCATGACACAGTCCCTCAAAGATACCGTGTGAACCAGCGTGAGTGATGAAAGCCCGAGCTCCAGGATGTGCTAACATGCAAACACACAAAGTTAGTTGAACGTGCAATTACTGCAAGATGTCAGCTGTTATATGATATGTGAAATAGACACACAGACCTAGTAGGTCGTTCTGAGGCACCCATCCCATCATCTTCACATTTTCTGGGACATTGTCAGGAACCTGCCCAGTGTATCTCCATATCACCTATCAAAAGACACAAAGAGTTATTTATTGATCTTTTAACTGTGTCTTGTTATATAGAATCTTATCATTTTCATGCATATGCTCAAATATATTCCTTTACCTTCTGTGGAATCTGTCTGAAGGCCTCTAGGAAGATGGAGGTCTTCTCCTCTGGCAGATCTGACACCATAGTGCCCAGAGTGAACACCACAAACCCAAACTCTCCTGACACCCAGGACTCCAAATCCTGCAAAAACACAAACCCATTGTAGGGGTATGAATTTATTTCCCTTTCCATATTCATCCCTCTATGTTCCTGCATTAAAATCAAACAGGTGAAGTGATGAACAAGTGAAATAAAATCAAAATGTTGATACAGTTTTCCAGATCAGAAACACTCAGAGCTCTTACCTCAGGCAGAGGATTTCTCACATTGCAGTTGATGCCACCAACTAGTACCATATTAGGCATGAGAGGGCGCGGGAACTCCAGTATCAAGTCAATCCTATTTAAACACAGTATCACAATATTCACCTGAATATGAGACTGAGACTTTTTAAATCTTTCTTTCAGTGAGATTCAGTGGCATAAAAGTCAGTAGGACTTTGTGAAAGTAAATATATGCATTCACATTATATTCCTAGCCTGTTAGTGTAATAGTATATGTGTGTGTAGGTTCTTCTTCTGTTGTGTATTCTTCTCCCAAACATCAATATACAACCTTTGTACATGTTACCTCAGCAGCCAGATAGCAGAGTCTGACAGTACTTCAGCTACGCCCACCTCCTCTCCCAGGAACTGATAGGCCATTTGGTCAAAGCGCCAGTACAGCAGTCGGGAGAGCAGCGGCTCCAGTAAAGCTACCTGTGGGTCAGAGGTATCACAGGACAATAAACAAATGCACAGCAAAAGGTGTTGATGATTGGCAAAGAGTTTAATTTTAGTTTTATGAGTTAAATTGTAACAGTGATTAAACTGAGGTCACATGCATTCAGTAATGTAGTCCAGGTTTAACTAGGCCACCATGAACTACATGACTTTGAATGTGCAGTAGAGCAAGGCAAGGCGCTTCAGGGCCAACGTCTCAGAAATAGTCATTTTACACAATGAAAACACATTCGTTCTTCATGCATGCATCTGCCCGTGTATATGTGCCTATAAACGCTCACCAAAGTGTTGACAACTCTCTCCTTGAAGCTCATTTTATCTGAGTATCCGGTGAAGAAGCGAGGTACATACGAGGGTGGGGAGGGGCAGCCTGCAGAGTTCACATCCAAGGAAAATGGAATACCTCTCAACAAATTAATAGTGGGGATACCTGAAATGATTTAGCAATGAGAGGTGAGAAAATGTGCAGATGTACAAGCACACAGATAATCCCAGTGGATCAGAACTCACCTAATTTCCGAGCTATTAATGAGCCTGTGGGCACCATGGGGTCTGTCAACACGGCATCAAAGCCCTGCAGAGTAAAAGAGTAAGAAGGAGGGAAGGAAAAGAGGGATGAATCTTCTGTAGTATCTGAGTAGTAATTAAGAAAATTCACTGTTTCTTCTCCTTCATATACTCATCTGTAGCTCATACAGAATAAAGGAGGCATGTCAGCTCCCACTATCCTTCTCTCTCATTCATTTTTTCAAGCAAGTTATCAAAAAGTAAACAGAGTACTTTCAACTTCATTACATTTCAGAGAATACTGTACTTCGTACTCCGCTACATGTATGGGACAGCTATAGTTACTCTGCAATAGAAATTTGTGTCACAGAACTTATCTCACGACCACGTCAGGTTTTGTTCACAGTAACATAAACACCTTACAGTACAGTGCAATCAAACACAGCACGAGCCCAAAAAAACACATCCAGAGTAATAGACACAGTCCCAATAAATGTCACACAAATTCAGAAAAAAAGTGCAAGGCAATTGTTTTGTATTTTTACAGTTAATCCTGATGTTCAGCCTTTGTGTTTGCACTCACCTGCTGTGCCAGATGTGAGATGAGACTGTCATTGAACAGTAGACTCTCTGCAGTTCCGTGGATTAAGTCTATAACTTTCAGAATGTGGGAGAATCGTTTCTTTGTCCTCACCATGAATGACTGTGAAGATTTTTGCATCATGTCCTTATGTGCGGACGCCACAGAATCAATATAAGCCCTGTCATAAGGAACAGGATGGATCTCAGTGTCGTAGTATTTCCCCGGACCCATCCGTATGCTGACCTCTGGTATCACCACGGTGACCCGGTGTCCACGGCGACCCATTTCTTGGGCAATGGCCTTCATACCCACCCAGTGACTTCCATCCATGGGTACCACCAGCAAGTTACCCAAGTAAGAAGAAGAAGAAGAAGAAGAAGAAGCAGTGTCATTTGCAAAAATGGTGTCACTGGCTTCAGCCTCTTCTGTCTTTGCCTTCTCCTCTGGCCCGGACTTTCCTGCAGCAGACCGGCTCGTCTTATCAGCACCATTCACCTGCATATCCATGTTTAGCAGCAGGAACACAAACACTGTTGCTTTCCACATTGTTCTCTCTTCCTCAGTGTCTACACCTCATTGAATCCAACGCAGAGAAAAAAATGGGGTAAAGTGAAGAATAAAACGGATCAAGAAAATGCCCCCTACTCTGTGCTCTGAATGCTCCTGTAAACCTTTCCCTCCCCTCAGACTGCTCTGTCAGGCTCTGGCTTGTTGAAATTCCTCTGTGAATTAGCAGAGTTGTGTGTGTTCAAAGTCCTCACTTTGACAAAGTGACAATCATTGTCCTCAACAGCTAGTGGTCACTGATATGAGACTGCTAGTGATTTAGTTAATGTGTGATTTAATTGATTGCTATCTGCACATAAAAGGAAGCGCACACAAACCACTGGGGGGATTCGGTGAAAAGTTCAGAGAGGGAAGGGTTTTATGCACTGCAGTGGCCTAATCCTATAATTCCCCACTTTTGGCAGTAGGGCTTTTAGCAACTAATGTAGCACGATGCTAACTGCCAGTCATCTGTGATCATGTGTTGTGATACTAAAGCAGTCTGCCATGTGATGCTGTGCTGGAATGAATCTTTGTCTCCACTGAGCTTGAGATATTCTTTCTTTTTGTGCTTTATTTTTATTGCTCAAATGGAAGTAAAAGGAAGATTAGTCTGTTTTCATCACCCCTGTGGATCCTGTGAGTAAAAAAAAAACGTGCTGGACCTTTTTGCTGAAGTCTGACTTTTCTCTGTCCATCTCTCCTGGTGTGTAGGACTGCAACATTGCAGTTGTGCCCAACGACACACATGACAAATCTGTTAGGAGAAATATGCTATTGGATCAGTCAAGGTAACTTTGAGTGTGACAAACAACAGTCAGTTTTAGTTTTAGTTTATTCATTTTTTCATTTAATTGGGACAATTCATTTTATCATAGTTCCAATCAAGGGCGGAGGTTTGCATATGGACGGTAGGGACATGTCCTTACCAATATTTTGGGAGCACAGAAGTGTCCCTACCAATATTTGAGAGAACACATTCGCACTATGTTTAAAATGAAGTCATATTAGATAATTTCAATGTCCCTCCAAGAGGCTACGTTTCCAAGACAACCAATTTAGGCATGCTAGCATTTGATTAACCGAAAGGGTGGGGGCTATCTGAAGGCTCACGTCATGTGAAAATATAAAGGTGGTACTGAACATCATCAGAAAAATGTCAACTGATGATATGGTATATGGTTAGAACTGTCTTCTCACAGTGAGAAGACACTGGGTTTCAACCCCAGGCCTGGTGCCCTTCTATGTGGAATTTGGGTGGTCTCCCTGTCCCTGTGTGAGGTCTCTACAGGGGCTACAGCTTCCTCCCACAGTCCAAACACATTCACATTTGATTTATTGGCAACTCTAATGCCTTACTATACTAGGATGGGCCCCAGAATTTACGTTTTTATCCTTACTATAGTACGACGTTTTTTGACGTTTTTATGCCTTACTATACTATGACAGTTTTTGACGTTTTTTATGACTTAATATAATGTGATGTTTTTTGACGTTTTTATGGCTTAATAAAATGTGACGTTTTTTTACATTTTTATGCCTTACTATACTATGACATTTTTTTGACGTTTTCATGCCTTACTATACTATAACATTTTTTGGCGTTTTCATGACTTGATATAATGTGACATTTTTGGACGTTTTCATGCCTTGCTATACTATGACATTTTTATGGCTTACTATTCTATGACATTTTTTGACGTTTTTATGGCTTACTATA